AATAACACTCATTTTGAGTAAGCAACAATTTAGTTGGAGTTGACAGAACTCCATTGACTCATGAAGCATAAATGTGATAACATTGGAAATGGTAAATCATTAGTCTCATTGAAGTCACCATAGAAGTGTGAAGAGAGTGTGGAAGAAGGATTAACATAATTGCAACAATGGTATTACTACAGGTCATCTGCTAACATTTGATCAGGATGCGTGAGTGCAGTAAAACACGATAGTGATCGAGATATTTCTGATGAATGAAATGAAATACACCATACAAAATGCCTGATTACATTAGACATAAATGAACTCAATGATCAGATCATTGTGAAATGTCAAATATTATCTGATGAGTGTGGACTGTTCAGTACTGATCACGTACTGGAAATTCTGATTTCGTTGAGAGAATAATGGAATGAGTGAAGATATGAAACCAACTACATAATCTAGAGGTGAGTATATTGTGATGTCAATCTGTGTAGTACACCACTATAGATAGATAGATGATTGTGTGTATAGATAGATAGATAGATGTGTGGATAGATATTTTGATCACCAAGCGTAATTAAACTCAATATTGTGAAAGTACGTTAGATTAATTCACAAACAATGTGATCGATGCATTGTTCATGAAGACAAATGTCAATAATCGGTTGTATGTGACGGACGCAATGGATCACAATAGACAGACATTAAATCTAATGTGTTTTATTTTCAATAGGTTCACACAACTCATTCAATGTCTATGTATAGAGAATTTCAATCGGAACACAAGATAATATGCAGTGAGTGACGTTCGGTTTGAGCGATTGACTGACCTAGAAGATGGTAATTCTTGTGAATCTGTGAAACATTAAATAATTCATTGAATACCAATGTTGATTGATTTTGATTGTCAGTGCATAGATTAGCGGAAATAAGTAGTATGTTAGTTAGTATGTAATCTGATGCTTACTGGGCTAGGAGAGTTGTTTGTTAATAGATGATAAACAATATAATCCTATTGTTGAAGAAGAAGAAGAAGAAGGAGAAGCTTCGGAATGTCTTCAGGTTTAAGTGCAATATTCAGAAATGAAATTGACTCGAATGTATATGAATATGAGATAAATCGTGTGAGAGGCTTGACATATAACAGAATGGTATAAATCACTAAAATGAAGGTAGATATCTGTTTCGTACATATAAGTTCCGTAAATAGCCATCACATATTTAACTACATTTTACAATTCACTGCCACTGGAATACACTCGAATCATTGTCCTTGTGCAGTTGCTTTTTCTATACACAATCTTTCCTGTCAAATAAACTACTGTCTCATGAGTTGAAATGATCACATTTGTATAAAATAGAACAAATAAAGTTGGTAAACGGGTGTTGTAGATGAAGTCAAATCAGGAATCATATCGGTGTTACTAATATGTATATACTGATGTTGATTTAAGTGTTTTGTACCAACAAGTTGTTGTCAGACTACTGACAAAATACTTTTTAACATTACAAATATGAACAAATTGACACTAATTTACAATTGGAAACATAGCTACATTAAATTTACACTTCTCCTTCATGTCGCAATGACCCTGAATACAACCGTTCGAACTATGTATTAGGATACCAATAAATCATCATACAAATCATCTTATCATGATTGTTGAATTGTGATTGAACCACAAATATACTCCATGTGTAGATTGAAGTTTGAATTGAACATAGTCCACAATCGAATGAGGGATTAACATTTATAATTATGTCACTCAGGAATAAACATTTAACTAATTTCCAGCTTGTGTAATAAATGAACACAATCATGCATTGAATACTTATTACAATGTAATCATCGTCCATAATCAACAACAGATTTGTCATCCGAATATGGTTTCTGATTTTAAAAACAAAACAAAAAAAACGAATATTTGATTCCATGAACTATGGATCATAGTTCTTTATAATACAAGGTTGAATAATATGAACACGAATAAAGTGAGCTACGTTGTTTCCTCATTTGTATTGACAGTTCGAAATTTCTAACGTAATAAATACAAGCAACTTATGATGACATTTTATGAATACGATGTCATTTCAAACTAATAACCATATGAACTATGGAATATCGGTTGAAACCAACATGATTGTTCGTTTTATACACTAAACACTTCATTGCATTTTGACTTACTTTTATCCTACTAGCTATTCCATTAAATCTTATTGATAAACATAACTGTCTAAGTAGGTTTCCTTACGTTTAAAAATGAGAATACTATCAAGCTCTTTGAGATCAATAATTAATGAATGAGCATCACAAATGATTACGCAAACTTCATGTGTAATCAAAGTTACAACATCATTAAGAGAACTCTATTGTAACCTACGTTATACACGTATTTTCAACGAATGCCATTATCCTAGTTTTCGATGATATTTAATTGATAATTGATGGAATATGTGAAAACACTGCAATCTCATTCATTGCTTCACAGATTTTATTCGTAATGTAAACCGCAAATTCAGCGATTGTCATTCATGAACAAGACTTGAGGATAAAGTTGAAAATTTGTATAACAGTCTAGAACATGTCGCATCTGAAGTTACAGTTTCTATTGTACATCTATCTGTTAATCGTAATGTATTGGCTGTTTGGTGGGATACAATAGTGAGGTTACGTTTATGGTAATACATACAAGATTAAGTTGAATAATATCTATTCATTGGAAGTCCAGAACACCGATAACTCTCTACAACTGAAACTAACATTCAAATAAAGTTTACAAACAAAAATGTGGTTGAAAACTGTATTTCAACCAATAATAGAACAGTTCAATGCTAGATTCAATGTTATTTATCAAAGTTACTGTATGATAAATAATGTGAAACCGAAATAAATTTAGAAAGTAATGAATTCACTCTTTATGACAATAACAACTTAAAAGTCCGTTGCATAATCACATCACTATCTTCACATCATGATGGAAGATCGAGGAAAATTTGGTCTGGCTCACAAAAAGTATTTTCATCAATATAAACGTGGTGTAATCAGGGATATTTTAGCAAATTGACACAGTAACTATTGTAATTAAATTGTCATTTGAACATCACATACAGAAATAAACACGGAATCCATCATAGCTTACTAAGATGACGGGAATGACGCACATTCTACCAATAATGTGTCAATCTAATCTGTTTTCACAATGAATAGAGGAAATTTCAAATTGAGACATGGATTATTTTTGGTCTACAAACCATCTATCCGAATAGTAAAATGTTCGAAAGTGTTGTGCTTGCAATTCACCAGGCAAATTATCTGAAACGTTTAGTGTTATTTACTACGAAAACGGATGTTTCATCTAATCACTCAGTTAATTATGTAGTTCTCTAGACAGTTCAATGACAATGAGATTTTTAGTAGAAAATGAATCCATCCTATTCACCGCTTTTCATCATCTGTAAACAGCCTAAACATACGAGGTGCAATAAGATAATGAACAAATATGTGACTTACTTCGCATAGTCAAGTTAATATCGGTGTATGAAACGGGTCTGGCGATCACAGCAAGAGTAAGTGTACAGACGAAAGAATTAATAAATAGAGATTTTGTTAGGTGGTGATCTTCATGAAGTAATATTAGTTAGGATAGGATGATCATGGAAATGCGAGAAATATCAACAATCATAGAAATGATACACTTACAAACTTTAATAAGCATACATCTTATGAGTGATTCGGTTGTGTAACCACCTCAGTGTTACAATATATGATGGCACGAACATTACAAGAGAATATAACATTCTGCTGTAATAGAAATAGAATTGCACATTGATGATGAATAATGGTTTAGATGCAATATAATTGACAAAACGAACAATAAACAAACAAATATCACTTCAACAACACTTGAAATGAAACACAGAAAATTATTGATTTTTACAAGAGGCGTACTATTAAACAACACTATCAATGATGTCCAAAGTTGTGTGATGTTGAAGTATATGCAACGACATATCAATTAAACAATAACACTCATTTTGAGTAAGCAACAATTTAGTTGGAGTTGACGGAACTCCATTGACTCATGAAGCATAAATGTGATAACATTGGAAATGGTAAATCATTAGTCTCATTGAAGTCACCATAGAAGTGTGAAGAGAGTGTGGAAGAAGGATTAACATAATTGCAACAATGGTATTACTACAGGTCATCTGCTAACATTTGATCAGGATGCGTGAGTGCAGTAAAACACGATAGTGATCGAGATATTTCTGATGAATGAAATGAAATACACCATACAAAATGCCTGATTACATTAGACATAAATGAACTCAATGATCAGATCATTGTGAAATGTCAAATATTATCTGATGAGTGTGGACTGTTCAGTACTGATCACGTACTGGAAATTCTGATTTCGTTGAGAGAATAATGGAATGAGTGAAGATATGAAACCAACTACATAATCTAGAGGTGAGTATATTGTGATGTCAATCTGTGTAGTACACCACTATAGATAGATAGATGATTGTGTGTATAGATAGATAGATAGATGTGTGGATAGATATTTTGATCACCAAGCGTAATTAAACTCAATATTGTGAAAGTACGTTAGATTAATTCACAAACAATGTGATCGATGCATTGTTCATGAAGACAAATGTCAATAATCGGTTGTATGTGACGGACGCAATGGATCACAATAGACAGACATTAAATCTAATGTGTTTATTTTTCAATAGGTTCACACAACTCATTCAATGTCTATGTATAGAGAATTTCAATCGGAACACAAGATAATATGCGGTATGTGAGTGGCGTTCGGTTTGAGTGATTGACTGACCTAGAAGAGGGTAATTCTTGTGAATATTCTAAATATTTTGATAGCTAATGTACAAAAAATTTCACACATATTAATTATTTATCTTTTATTCGCATTACTTAACAGAAATAGATGTATATATATATATAAGTAAAACATTTCATAATGTGAAATCAAGAAACGACTTCAGTAAAA